AATATACTGTGTGTATATTATGAGATCATTATAGTTACACATACCTGTTGAATTGTGCGGATTTGCAAGAAAATAGAATATAAAATGTATTCCAATCCATTCTTCATCTCTCTTTACATCATAATAGTAATCATTTGTTATAAATTAATGGCTTAATGAATTTCTTCAAAGCAATCAAAACAGTATGTCGTCCCCATCCTAAAACACCGATATGTGTAAAACATGTTAATCCCGACATCTCCGAGGTGCATAATGCAATTACTGTAGACATAGACCTAAAATTATTAGTAATTACTGAAAAATAATGTCTGGTTCATCCACGACTTAACGTAACCGAATTTAAGGATCAGCTGTTTCTACACCAGTGTTCTCCACATGCTACGCCGCCAGATGGTAACTAGCTAGTGATTTCCAGTGGTGGTCAAACGTTTTGGTCACGTCACAGCCATTTTTTGACATGATTTGGGTGGTTTCGGAACTCGTCTTACCCTTGGATAGCCCTTTCTATACCGTTCTATGCTCATATTAACGTAATTATAATAATTCTGTGGTGTCTCGTGTTCCAAGACGATTTACGTTCAAAGTCAGGCGGTGAATCATCTGTTGTTTTTGTTTGAGTTGTTGACGAATTTGCGGTAGAGATTTGTTTTGGTGTTCGTCTTCGGGTGTGTTTTTCTGCCTTGGACTTGTTTTTTGTGCGATTAATTGAGGATGGCCATGCCTAGAGCAAAAAAAAAACGAGAGCCGCGCTGGTATCAACTCCTGACCGTGGTGAAGAGGTACCTGCAGAAGGCACCTGAACGCAATCGGACATCGCCAGAGGAGCGCCTAATGATGACGTCGTGTACACGTTAAATCTGCACGAACCCCTAAATACGTGGTTATGTTGAATGTACCATCACCGATGGTGCGACTGATTATACACTGAAATTAAAATAAAAAACTGCAACTGCAATTGTATGTATGAATGTTGAACAGTTTCGGACCAGTGGGGTTAAAATATCGTTGAGCAACTGGAAAGAAGTGTATGAATGTGGTGAAATGCAACACCTAACAAAAATTTGAGTGAAAAGGCTTTTTCATGTAAGGGTTTGGAAGTGCAAGTTTGCAAATATAGGATAAACTATAAGCACACAGTAGGTGATATAATCACATATGGATTACAAAAGTTGCAGTAAACATGGAAAAACGTTCAGCTAATCTGAAAAAATAGATTTTACTCAGACATCAAGCATTTTTAAAAATTTTGGCTCAGTTTTACATAATTTCATAATATTTAATAAACTGAAAAGATTTCAATGGCAAGCTGTTACTTCATATTTTACAGATTTTTGTTTTAAATACTTTGACGCTATTTGACGCAAAAAATTTGACGGAGAGATCTTGAGGCTGATTGGGTATATTTAACGGACTCTTTGGTACTCGTACCCTGTTGGTGCAGAATAATGGTTTGTTAAATTGTGAAATCCACCCTAAGGCCCGTATCGTCAGTCGTTCCTATAATATTAGGACGCCTTTATGACCTCCTTGTAGTTTTCTACTGTTCCGTGTCAGCGCTCTATTTTGAGGTTATGTCCCATATATCTATTTGCATCACACGTTATTTTAGCAACAAAGTTTGGTCAAATCAATCCCAAACTATGTACTAAATTCCTATTTAAAATAAGTACGAGATATTTTCTTATCTTTCTCCAAGAAATAACTTTTTTGCCATAAACGCTCCAATAGCTATTTTCAACAACAAAATGATAAACAAACCATGGGCGTAGTGAAGAAAAGCATTTACTTATTAAGTAAATTCTTTTAGTCAAATTTCTTCTGAAAGTAGTACTAACTAATCTGATATACCTATTAACTTTAAGCTTTAAATCAATAAATCTTCAAAACTACTGAACTGAAGCTCATTTATCTTACATCATTATAAAGGAAATTGAAAGACCTTTAGAATAAGGTATCACTCGACCTCCCTTTCCATTTAAGGTTTTAGGGTTGGTGTCACCCCCGCCCAGGGGGTTGCACGTGTTAACGTGATTTTTTGCCAAACTTGTGTCCCCCTCGAAAACAAAATCGACGAGTCTGAGCGTTTTTCCAAAAAAACACTGAGCTGCCAGTAAATGTGTCTGTTTCGTTTTCGATGCGCCACCCTGTATAATACTTGACGTGAGTTTGACTTCGTTACAAGTCAAGTAGCTTAAAAATCATGACATGCATCACTTCTCTTTATCTCCTAAGGAAAATTCGAGTCAGTTTCACTTCTCAACTTACACATAATTTTGTATCCAAAAATTAAAAAAGTCGCGTAATGAGATTCCCAGGACATATCATTAGATTATAGAGAATAGAGAAATAAAAGTATTTTATACAGCATATCTATGCTGGAAATAAAAATCAAATACTATTATTTTTTATATATTTTATATATATTTATTTTTAATATACGAATGTCAAATATGTTTTTCCAACACCCTGAGAAAAAATGGGAATAAACATCATGATCCTTGAAAATGAACGTGGAGTCCTTTACACGGCTTTTGGCGGTTAAGTCATGATGTTATACGATAAAATCTGCACACTAGGAAAACCGATCCTAGAGGCAAGCGAACGCATTGATTGGAGGTTTAACCGAGATATATCGGGTTTTCCAATAGAGACTTGACAACTTTGAACTTTCACTGTGAACGCACCTTTAAATCAATTACCGAACTGTCAATGTCATGTAAAGAAAACATTTTCATCCTGGTGAAGTACATGATCGAATAACGCTTACAAATAATTAAAATTAACTACCGCAACTCCGAGTCCGCAACTGCAATTTTAAGAGCGTCAGCGTCAATTTTTGGGCATCGCTCAGACCACACTATGGCGAATTTTGCGAAGAAATCTTGGCCTGCACCCTTATAACAACAAGTTAACTCAAGAACAAAAGCTGTTCGATCATATGAACCCAAGTACGTTCTCGAATTGGGCTCTAGAAATGTTGCAAGGAAATGACCAATTTTATCGCAAAATCATCTTCAGTCATGAGGCGCATTTTTGGCTAAATGGCTTGCTTCGTCAACAAACAGAATATGCGTTATTGGTCAGGTAAAACCCTCATATGCTTCAAGAAAGGGCACTTTATCCACAAAAAATAACTGTATGGAGATCGCTACATAGTCATGTTGCAACGTTATTTGTTTGATCAATTGGATGGCCTAGACCAGAGTTCCCCAAACTTTTTTGTGTCGTAGACCCCTTGCCATGTTTTTCCGTATTGGGTAGACCCCCTACTTACCTGATATTGATTTCCTGTAAATTTCTAACTGTAGTGAAGTTTAGTGTTAAAAACTTAAAGCAAAAAGACATGTTAATTTATACATTTATTAATTGAATTTAAATTAAAACTACTCAAAATAAAATTGTATATCTGTTATGTAAAATATACGTAACATTAAATAAACAGGTGTCTGACCAATAAGTGCCCGCATTGGGAATAAGTGCCCGCATTGAAAAAAAAAATAAGAGGGATAAAATAAAAAAAAAGTAAAAAATAATAAAAAAAAAAGTTTCTTACTTAAAATAGTACAATAAGCGAGTTCGTTTATTAATTATAACATAAACGTATGTTCTACAATAATTTCACTGTTAGTTTGATTAAATTCCGCTTCTTATACCTTTAAGTTATCTAAAAATAGGCAAAAAAATAACGAATTTTAGTGTGTACCTATCCTTGAATTTTCAGAATAATAAAAAAAAAATATTTTCTATAAAGGGGGTTCTTTAAAAAAATCAATGCGGGCACTTATTCCCAATTCGGGCATTTATTGGTCAGACACCAATAAAGATAAAATAAACGATAAATAAAATAACATAAGCAATAAGTCAATATTTTTAGTGAGAAGGATGAACCTGATGCTTTAATAATAAATTATCAACATTTGGCGTCAATTTTGTAAGAGTTAATCTTAAATCTCCTCGGCTAATGATGTCCAGTCTGTTTCTTTTTTTCGTTAGGAGATTGGTAACAGCGCTGAACCCCCTTTCCACTAGGTATGACGATGGAAAGGAAATTAAAAATTTCCTCGCTATATTCCATAATACGGGATAAGTAACGGGTATGTTGTTTTGCAGCCAGAATTGCTGATATCCGTTTTTAAACTGAACCTTAAGTTCTTCGTTTGTACTTAGTTCAGTCATTTCCTCTTGTATTATGACATTCGTTTCTTCTATGTCACCATATGGATTAATTATCCACGGTGGTATTACCATAGTCAAAATATCATCAAACCTAGATTCAAAATCTGAATAGAGGGCATTTAAATGTTGAACGTAATTTGAAACGTTGTCTTCCCGGCAGCTTGTCTGTGACAAATTGGGGAACTGAGAAAATTCGCCCCTTCCATTATTTTGCTTCATTAGTTTAACTCTGGCAAGAAACGCTGATAAGATGGACTTTGTTTTAATCAAATTTAAACTGTCGCCTTGTAATTGCAAATTAACCATATTAACTTTTGTAAACAAATCTGTTAAATAGGCGATGTCTGTTTTCCTCTTCATTAAATTTTCTTTTAAAATTTCATCTTTAGTATCCAGAAATTCTAAGATAGTCTCAAAAAGTGCAAAAAATCTTGTCAAACATAAGCCTTTCGACAGCTAGCGTACTTCAGTGTGAAGGAGTAATTGATGAAAGTGTTCGTCATTTTCTTCACACAACTGCGCAAATAACCGCGTATTCAACGCGTTGCTTCGGATACGGTTTACTGCATCAATGACTAAATGAAGTGATTCATGCAATCTAACACTCACATTTTTAGCAACTAAATGTTGTCGATAGATGACGCAATGTATTGCTAACACCCCTGACACATTTTGTTTTAAATAGCTTATAAATCCACGATAACGTCCAACCATGGCAGGTGCTCCGTCTGTAGCTACTGATATTATATTTGATAAAGGAATTGCTTTTTCAATGAAGTAATCCTTCAAAACATGAAATATTGATTCACTTTTAGTGTCGGTTATCAAAGTTCTTGCGAAGAGCAGTTCTTCGTAGATTTCTTGATAAGACGAACATATGCCAATAATAATGCTGCATTATCAGGTAAAGTTGACTCGTCCAGTTGTATAGAGAAACGGGTCGTTTGCAAATAATGACATAAGAAGCTTTCAATATCAGAACTCATTTCATCAATACGTCTTTCAACAGTATTGTTGCTTAAGGGAATTCTTTTAATGATATCAGATGCAGGTTTGTGTAAAACAGTTTTTAAAACCTCTTCAACGGCTGGCAAAATTAACGTCTCTCCGATAGTATGCGGTTTTCCGGATTTTGCTATAAGTAACGAGATATTGTAAGACGCCCGCAAACCATCATGATTTCTTTGTGACGTCGAAGCGAACATTCTGTTCAGTGCAGGTCTCTTCTGAAATTTATCTGTGAGTGTTTGAAAGTATTTCAAATCTTTCTCTGTTTCATCAGGGTGGCATCTTCCCAGATGATCTTGCAGTTTAGATGGTTTCATAGCGTCATTGCCCAAAACTTTGTTGCATAAAAGGCACATAGGCGATTGTTTGTCCGGCAATGATGGAATGAAGCCAAATTTCAAATAATCAACACTGTACTGTCTACTACTGTTTCTTTTTAGATTCGGACATGGCATCAGTCAACTGTGGGCAAAATTAAATTATTTAAATAAGACAGAAAATCCAGCAGCTGTATATTAAAAATATTTTTTGATTTTTCCGAAAACATTCCATAATTCGAACATCTTCTTGCAATAATTAGCTCGAATTGCGGAGATTGCACTGTAATTATATTACCGATTGCTAAAACTTTCAAAAAGAAGCTATTGAGGAGTACTCGTGAAATTTTGCATGACTGCATATTTAACTACTAATAACTGATGTCATGATTGGCGTAATTTATCTATCTTTGCTAACTACGAGTACAAAACTAAAATTTAATAAAAAATAATGTACTTACTTTTCTCCAGCACTCTCAAACAAAATAACACTGACTCACTATAATTTGTGTGATATACTATCTGTTTATATTTTTTAAAATATTTTCTTAGCACTTTCCTTTTCAAGATTCAGGAAACGAATAAACGTATTTGTCCCACATTCGTATTTATAGAGTGACGAATTGTACAAGTCAGTGCAAGGTAGCGAAGCTCTGAGACTGCGACTGTCAGGTTTTTACAAGTTCAAAATGTATTGCGACCACAAAGCGAATACCAACATCCTACAACTTACACAATTTTATAAACATATATAATAAATTTTTTACTTCATATGTACTTTTATAAATAATATATATGTTTTGATATTATAAGATAGTATGATGTAAGTAAATAGGTACTATCAGTGTATGTGTTGAGATCCACTATCGTGGACCCCCATATTCATTTCATGGACCCCCAAATTTTTTTTCGCAGACGTAGACCCCTTGCAGGTTATCATAGACCCCTAGGGGTCGATATAGACCACTTTGGGAATCAATGGTCTAGACATTAATGATATACGGTGCCACAAGCCACACAGCGGGTGAAACAATCGACATATTGAAATCAAAATTCGGTGAACGTGTTATATCGAGAAATGGCTCTGCCGACTGGCGTGATTTGACACCTCTAGACTTTTTTGTGCGGCTATATTAAATCATTGGTCTATGCCGACAAGCCGGCGTCGCTAGAGCTCAGAGCCTATATTGAACGAGAGGTAGCGGCAGTTTCTGTAGAAATGTGTGGCCGAGTCATTGAAAATTGAATGAATATGAACGAGGTCGAACTCCATAAATAAGTGTTTTGAGTATACTTCAATCCAGTAATAAAATGTACGATATCTCAAATGGTTTGCGTTTTATTTAAAAGGAAAGTTGCCAAGTCCTTATTGGAAAACCCTATATTTGATGACTCGTGACTAAAGACGTAATGCCATGTTCCCTAGAGATTCTATACGAATGATACAACTTAAAGCTCCCTTATTGAAGATTTAACCGAGATATATTTGAGGACTCGTTAAATGAACGCTTGCAAATTACTTGCTCTCTTGAAAGGATCATAAATCCTCAGCCCAACGCTGCTCTTGTCGTTATAGCGTCCATACGAACAACAATGGAGGGAAGTTAAAGAAAGGATTAGGGGAGACAAGTTTAATTTGATATTATATAACGGAAATCGAGCAAAGAGGGTTGTTATTCAAAATTTTAATTAAATATCATTTTCAGCAAAGAAGGTCGAATAACCTAAGGCCGACTTTTCTTGTTCCCCTCGAAAGGGATTGCACAACTCTTTGAATATAACTTTTTGTGTATTTAAAAATGTCTTTGCGAACGCGGGCCTGTGAAAGATCAAAACTGTTTTATCGGTTACGGATGAAATACTCATTTTACTGGAAGTATTGTGATCGTGAAAAAATTAGAAAATGAGATATTTTGTTTTTTTTTGGTTGATATATGATGTGTACGAAAAACCATGTCAGTCATCTGTCTGTTTGTCCGCTATTTTTTGACTACACTATAGCTTGGAAAGTACCCGCTTTATTTTGATAAAATTTTCACACAACATTGTAACCCAGCCAAGGGCGGAAAAGCTATATAGGTTTTGAAAATCCATCCAGTGGCGGCAGACCTAAGGGCAAAAAAAGTAACAAACAACTAAAAAATCGCTCAAACTTAATTTTTTTGATGTTTCAGAGGATCCCGATCATTTTTGAAAATTTTTTCCGGTTAAAAGATTGTGAAGTGGGAGGGGTGAGGGTAGTTCTCAATTTTTTGGTGCCGGTGTACTTATACGCCTCCAGCCGCCGTAATTCTTTGCACCTTTTTGACATCGGTTCTATGGCATTTATCGCGGCAATGATGTTGTTTTTGAGTTCTTGGAGGGTGGCTGGTTTGTTGACGTAGACTTTGCTTTTCAAATATCCCCATAAAAAGAAGTCCAAGGGAGTCAAATCGTACGATCTTGGTGGCCATGGCACATTTCCTCTGCGCGAAATCACGCGATCACCGAAGAAGGACTGCAATCGATGGATATTGACGTTGGTTGTGTGGCATGTTGCACCGTCTTAGAAATAAACATCGTCCATATCCATTCCTTCAAGTTGCGGCAAAAAATAGTCCTCTATCATCACGTGATATCGCTCAGAATTGACGGTAACGGCGTCCCCGGCCGCATTTTCGAAAAAGTAAGGTCCGATGATGCCTTTTGACCACAATGCACACCACACAGTCACTTTTTGAGGATGCATCGGCTGCTCTTGATACTCACGGGGATTTTCGTTCGCCCAGATGCGGCAGTTTTGCTTGTTTACCGTCCCATTTAAGGTGAAATGCGCTTCGTCGCTGAACATGATTTTTGATGAAAATTTGGCATAAATTTGGCGGTGTTCAAGGAGCCAATCTGAGAACGTTCGGCGCGAAAAATGGTCGGCC